AAAAAATCATTACTGAAGATATCATTAAGAAACACTTGATTGACATTTGCACTGGTTTGTTTGAAGTTATAAGTCAAAGCTCATATATTGGCCATCCACAGAAAAAAAAAATGAAAACACAAAATATGACATGAGAACAAGATAAAGAAAGGGGGAAACAGAGATAGAAAAACAAGTGCGAATACTAAATAAACAATTTGTCAGTTGAGTTGTGAGTATAGTATGACAAGAGTCAAAAGGGGTGGGGAGAAAATAGAGGGAAAGGATTTTGTTGTGATTGTGTCAAAAGAAATCGAATATGAAAAATCACGTCTTGTTTGTCTGTAAATGAAGCAAGACGTGTTTATAGCTTCATTTTAAATGAATAGTGAAGTGAAGATATGTCCATAAATGAACGGCGAGAATTAAATATATGTCGCGATGATCCTTTTATATGAAAAGATCCGATTTTATACCGCAAAAAACAATGTTATCCCGGAAATAGATAAAACAAAATGATGAAGTAACGGCGAAACATAGATTAAAGAATGAAAATAAAGAAACAGGATTTTATCTGGCAAAAATTTAGAAAAGCTTCTTTTCAAAGGAATATAATCCATGAACGCCGCCTTCAATTTGTGCCGATGCAGTTCGTTTTTCAAAACGAAGTTCTCCATTAAATGTACGAGTTCTATAAAGTAGAAAAAAGTAAAAATATTAGATAAAAAGTTTGATATAATGTATAAGCAATGTAAATGAATACTTACTTCAAGGTGGTGAGATCGCGAACGCCCATATCTTGACAACCATAACGAATACCTGAAACTAAGTATGGAACAAAACGATGAACAGATCCTTTATCAACAATAGTTCCAGATACACCTTGTGCAACACGGATATCTTCATTATCGCTGGCAAAATATCGTTGTCGAGAACCTTCGCCGTCTTTAGATTCCATTGCGTCAATAGATCCCATGCCGCGATATTTCTTGACGCGAACTCCGTTGGAGAAATAGTATTCACCTGGAGCTTCAGTTGTTCCAGCTAACATAGAGCCCATCATACAAGCTGAAGCACCAAGAGCAAGAGCCTTAAGAACCGCACCGACAGAATTGATGCCACCATCAGCAATTGTTGGAACACCAAATTTACGGGCATAATTGCTGACCTTATAAACTGCTGTAGCTTGTGGACGACCGCAGGCCATTACTTCTTGGGTAATACAAATAGAGCCTGAGCCCATTCCAACACGAAGAGCATCAGCGCCAGCTTCAATGAGATTTTTAGCTTGTGCTTGCGTTACTACGTTGCCGGCAATAACCTGAACTTGGGGATAGGTAGTTTTAATAA